ATGAAGTCCAAGGGATGGTCATGGGGACAGCAGATCAAGAGATTGGCCTTAGACAGGGAGAGATAGCGTTCCTCCGTATCAGCCTTATGGGCTGCGCAAGCTTGTATAATAATTGTATAAAAAATTGATTACTTTGATAAAGTGTATTGTTAAAGTTAAAAACATTCCCGATTCAGTCATGTTTCAACTTGTCATAAAATGCCCAACATTCCGATGATATTACTGATTTTAGTGCTTGCAAATGTTTGAATTAGGCATTTGAGATGCTCCTGCTTGCATAAAACAGCTTCTTGGGAGTGGCAATCAGTGCTGTAGACTGATTTCTTTTCTCTGGAAACTGACCATTCGTCCCCGAATCCAAGTTTATAGAGTATTTTTCCATCAGGCAGGTATTTCAGAGCCCTGATGTCAGTAACTGTAGCATCCCCAGCTTTCTTTCCTGGAAGGATGCAACTAAGGGTGTTCACACCATCAACATTTGAGAAGAACGTGTGAGTCAAATGCTCCACAGAGTGCTGATATAGCTTTCTTCGGGCTTCTTCAATTAATCAAACATAGTCGATAGGAAGGAAAATCTTCTTATTCTTTATTCGTCTTTCGATAACACTGTGGACGTTATCCACCTCCATCATCATGAGGCCCCTCTCAAGTATTTTCTGCTCTACTTCCTTGTCATGCATCACGGCGAACCTGGAAAGAGCAGTGGCTAATGTTTTGTTTCTGTTCTCAAAAGTACATCCATCGGAATAGACGATGTACCTATCAAAAGACAGATCACTTTCCAAGTCATCCACAATGCAAATTCGTGAGCAAACAAGCCCCCTTCCGCATCGTGCCAGACATAGCATATTGGACACCGTGTGACTTTAAATCAAATATTGTGAAGTTATGGATACAGAGTCTGGTCGTATAGTATAATGCTGATGCTTTCAGCATGGGGCAAAGCAAAACTGACTGTAGATCCACAGTAATGACCTTTGTCGTGTCGTTATTTTGGACCATTTCCTCATCTCCTGCCATCTCTTGCTGTGCCCTTTCTTTCTTCTGCCCATGAGCCAGATATGTCTTCATCGGCATTGCCTTCATCAGAGATCATACTGATCTTTACGCGGTTTGAAAAGAGAAAGATTCATTTTCTGTAACTCATCGTCAAGAATTGGATGAGAAAGAGCCTCCATCTTCTTTTCTTTACATTTTGTTTCATAGAGACGAAATAGATCGGTCCTGCAATGGAAAACTGCCTCTAAATATAGCTTGGAGCTTTTCTTTCGGCAATGGCAATAGTGAGACTCTGTTTAGACAGACTTTCAAGGAAGGCTCACAGATGTAATTGCGCATCAGAGTCAGATGCTGGTCTCCAAGAAGACTCATTCCCTGTTGATAAAAGATCACCTGGTCCTCCGCGATGGTGTCTCACATACCGTACCGTTCCTTGAGTCCTATTGTGGACAAAAACGTCTGACAGCAGACCCTGAATCTGCCTCTACTGGTTTTCAGAAAATACTGCAGGGACGTAGTCCTACAGGATTGCTGCAGACGCTGCTTTTCTCTGTTTGGCTGGCACCTCGCATACATGTCCATGCAAAAATACACCATTCTCTGGCCAGGGCAGCGACAATAAGAAATAAAATATTTCCTACCTCTCTTCTTCTGTGACATTCGAACACTGATTACACTTGACCTTGCAGGAGCATCTTTCCCCAAAGTTCTTCTATCCTTTTCAACGTTCTCAAACCCTCTATTGCCTTCCTTCTAAAGATTGCCCTGCTTCACGTTTCTTGAGTTCACAAATCTCTCCCAGTTTTCCCTTTCAAGCTTTGTCTTCTTTCCATTAATTATTTTCACATTATCGCTGTCGTTTACATAACCACATGATCGATTAACAAGAGCCTCACCTCTATCAACACATATATTGGAATCAACATGTTCGCCTCTCTGGTCAGTGACATTCAAATCCAAATCTTCATCATACATGTTGGAATCAACAATTTCACCTATACGATCAGTGCCATTTAACAACTCAAAAGCTTCAATTCTACCATCATACATATTGGAATAAAAAATTTTATCTCCACCGTTATATGCATTCGCATTATGATTAAGAACATTTTCTCTGCTGCAATCAGCATTCTCAAAAAGAGACCCATATCTACCATCACACACCTTCACATCATGAGCCTTATCTCTAGCATCACATATTTTCACATCAAGAACCATTTCTCCACCATCATTTACATCTGTTTCTCCATTATCATGTATAGACATACTCAAATCAAGAACATTCTGAAAATGACTAGATTTATCGTCACGCAGGTCAGCAGCAGTTTCAGTGACAACATTCCTTCCCATTAGCCTCATTGTAATCAAAAGACACTAAATCACTGCTATTCACTGACATATCTAACAAATGAGTCAATGATATATCCCTAAAATTGTCCTGTGGTTCATACAGAGAAGACTCGTGGGCATGTCCCTCTGAGGAGTGAGGACAAGCATTTCCCTTAGAGAGGTGCTGGGTATATCCCCTTGACCGTGGTCATGGAGGCTTCACTGGAGGGTTTACTGCTACAGTTTTAGACAGCCGTAACAGTTTATAGCCCCGTGAAAAGTGGTTCATGACTGAAATATAAATAATAATATAAGTTATTAAATGTATAATAAAGTACGTTTCTTCTAAAGTAAAAGTAAATTTAAATGTTTCAAAAAATAATCCCCACTTTCAATGGCGTTTGACTTTGGGAAACATGAATCTTATAGCAGGTTAAAAATATAATAACGATCAATCCACATTGCTGAGATACATCTATGACTAATTAAAACCCCAAAAATAATCAACATTGATGAGATCTAAACCTGTGACTGTGACTAACAATACATAATAATTAATCTATATTATTGAGATCTAAACGGTGTCAATGGGCTTAATCTTTCACATGAAAACGAAACGCGTAAGTCTTGACAATCTCCTTGCAAGTCACCGTGAAGCTTACAGAATTATGGGCGACTTTGTAAGCTCTAAACGCTGATGTCGGAATGTATTACACAAAACAAAGATTTATCTAAATAAACACATGATAATTTCGAAAAGTATCTTACATACACATTTTAATATGAAGGAAGAAATGACATAACTCACCTGTACGCTCTTACTTGAACCAAAAATTAAACAAAATTATTGTTTTAAACGAAAGTGCCCCGTTGCGACTTCTGCGTTTAGAGTTTCAAATCAAGTTTAAATTCTGTTACGCATGTTTAGAATCCGTGACAAAAAGTGCAATTTTCATTTGTTCAATGACTTTAATATTTATAGAGGAGGTGGGGGAAACCTATTGGAGTAAAATAAAACCAAAATATTAAATTCCGGACTTACGCGTTTAGAGACTTACAGTGACGAAGTACTGTCACCCGTCCAATGAAACGCGAACACTTAGGCCCCTAAGTTCAATAACACGCTTACAAGTTATGACGGTTCCCGATTTCACACAAGGCCTGCACCAACGCGCACTTTACTTTGCAGAGAGCTGTAGTAGTAATCAAATTCTAAAAATTAAAAATGTGCTTCCAAGTTCAGTTTTTTTTGTCCTCTGATGTGGCGTCCAGCCCCCCCCCCCCCCTCCCCCATCCCCGAGTGTATCTTAAAAAAAAAAATCAATAATCTCCCCTCACTCCGGAGTCCTGTATTTCGCAGCGCTGAGAACGCACGCAGGTTCACTGACCGGCAAGGAGGTTTCAGTAAGCGAGCCCGACAAGACGCTTGTATAGCTTTCTTTTACTTTTTGACCCCTCAAGCGAAAGCACAGTGACGAATTATATTGATTATTTTCATGGCGACACTACGTTTGTAACGCAGAACCTACATGTTACAAATGTTGCGTTATCAGACTATAAACATGTACTGACAAATTTCTGGGTGGTAACGAAAGCGAAAGTAGATCTTGATTTTCTGGTCGAGCCTCGGGTCACATACAATTCCGCTTGCCGCCATAGCTGCCTGTTTGCGTGAAACGTACTCTCGGACCGGGAAAAGCGACCTGCAAAAATGATCTTAAAGACTTTATCGACTTTGGTTTTCAAATATTCGTGATCTTTTATATTATTTTCGCGGGTCTCTGCAATTTTTTTTTCTTCGAATTCCCGGGGTCTGACAGTCACCCTGCTCCCAGCAACTCTCTTTTTGATTGGCCCGCTGTCGCAGTAACGGAGTTTAGTGGCGGAAATGGCAGTAGCGGATATCCGATAAATAGCGGAATATAGAGACCCATGTAATCTGTGGTATCGGTTGCATTTGCTCCACAAATACAATGTTCAAATTCTAAATGTTGAAAAAAGCAAGAACACGCCCCCCCCTCCCCAATCAAGTAGGAACATTTTTTTTATCGGATTGAGATAGGCCTTTCTCTCTGTTCTGATAAATTATGTTTCCTAAGCTTAGTATATTTGAACAGCTCGCAGAAGATATTTATCTGAAACCATTTTTCCGATAAAAGGATACGATATAACACACAGCATGAGCACATTTCTGGACAGTGGGAAAGGGTGGAAGTAGTCCCATATCAAGGCAAACATTGCAAAGCCAATGGCGATTGTGCAGATGAGTAGACGACCGTCCATCAGCGCGTGCGATTCCTTATAGCCCAAAATGTCGATCAGCACCTGAAAATACACATCCAAGAGGAAATATTTAGATGGATTAACTAACCAAATCGTGGTCACAAACTATAACTAGAAGGCAGTCCAGGCACCCAATCCAGACCCTAATCAAAGTTGGGACTAGATCTTATGCTTTTATCTAATTTACCCATTTTGGTACTTTTACATACAGAGTCTAAACTTAACTTGATTCTGATGAAATGCCCCCCCCCCCCCCCCCCCCCAAAAAAAATTCTCTGAAAAAAAAATTGATTTTCTTTTCATATTAAAAATGTGAGTTGCATTTTGCTCAAATTAGTCCCATCTTTCCGCCATTTTGATTTTTTTAAATTTAAAAGATCAAAACAAGAACGAAAATAGATTAATATAAGTTATAATTATGAACCTACAAGACATATACAAATATGCATCTCAAACAGTGATGCCTGGGCGCCAAATGGAGGCTACTCTAGCAATATTAGTGAAATGTCCTAAGTTTCAAATTATAGAAATCTCAAGAGTCTAAAGTAGGTAAAATATCAGAGTTGAAATAGCCTTAACAAAATTTGAAAACAATAATTTTTATGTAAGGTGATTAATTATTTGTTTGCATTTCAAATTTGAACCAGTAAGGTCATGGTCCTAAAATGGATGTCATCTCAACCAATTGGCCTAAAAGTACAAAAAGTTTGGGTACATTGTGTTCCTTGGTATAAATTAAAACCAAAAACAATTTAACTGAAAACTTTGCCGATGTAAAGATGAGAAAAAATATTTTCTATTTTTAGAAACACATTAAGAAGGCCACATAGGCAAATAAAACATCACACACACATAGTTATTGCTTCAAATCGAAGTCCACTCAATGAGTTTTCCACATAAATGATTGTACTGACCTTCACATGAATTTATTATATTCACATTTTAAAAATGATATAGGCCTAACTATCGTAAAACTGCAGCCTCTTTCACTCCATCATGTAAGGCAGTGGTTTTCAAACTTTTTTCACCCACCGCCCCCTTTTTCACCCAGCAGAGTTCCAGCGCCCCCTACTCCACCCCAACCATCAATCTGACATAACGACATGCATAATATAATAACAATCGCAAATAAAGAGAGAGCTCAAACAGCACTGTACAAAATAACGTGCCTAAATTCTAATGATTTGGTTTTGAATATTAGGTGGGTCACAAATCACCATCATTACAGTCTTAAATTAAGAGTGTACGAGAGATAATAATAAAACACACCTTTTCTTCAACATTATGCAAGGGCATTGAGAACATAATACTGTCATTTTATGCATATAGTTGTCATTGGTATTAAACGACCCGTATTATTAACATCAATAAAAGTAAAACATGTATTATTACATTTACAGAAGCAAAACACAAACAACCCCCCACAACAGTGATAATTGGTTTGAAAACAGATTAACATTATCTTTATGAAACGTTTTCTCCCATCAAGGTGATGAAATAAAGTTGCCCGAGATTTGCATATCAAATATCTCCATTGTAGAACATAAAAATATTATTAAGTTGTGCAAATGTGAGAAACCACACGAAAAAAAAAGTATGCATGGATCTTAGTCTGTAATTATCCCCATCATCGTAATCATCATCATCATCACCATCATCAGTTTCATCACCAGTGGCAGGACATGCACATAACAAACTCTATTAAACAAGTGAGTATTTTGCTTTTTAAAAAAGAAAAAAAAAAGCCAAAAAAAAAGAGGGAAAGACCCATTGACGTATCAAGTAAGGGTAAACTACGGAGTAAGCATATACAAATAAGTCATTGAAGGATGGACCTGGTGAGACGAAACCAATGAATCAACATTGGGTTTCAGATTGGTCAGTAGCAGATGCAAATCGCCAAGCTCTGTGATCCTTAGTTTTTGTCCTCTGCTTTGTCAGCAACCTTGTTACTGCACAGAATGCCCTTCCTACTAAACAGGAGGCGGGAAAAGCGCTGAACAACAATTTGATCTTTTCCCACAGGGAAGGTTCGTCTTGCTCAACAGTTTTCAACCAGAATGACTGGTACAACTTCTTGAACAATTGTTTGATTTCAAAGTCACTTTTCATTCTCAGAAGCTCTTCTTCAATAGCCACGGTCAAGTCACCATCCGTTCCAGTGTTGAGTGGGTCCAGTACCCAGTCTGGAATTTCCAGTTAAAAGATATCAGTAAACCTTGTCTTCATATCAGCATGGACATCTCTGAGGTGGTTGGTATATATTTCTAGTTCCTCGTCAGAAACCTGCCCTTCTTTCAGTGTCTCGGTCAAGCTAGGAAACTGAGCAAATTCACTTCAGCCAATGTTTCGGTGGAACATTTCCAATTTTGAAAACAATGACGAAAGCATGGATTTTGCCCTGATCAGGTTGGTGTTACCCCCCTGCAGCTGCAAGGTGAACAGATTGAACTTTGTGAAAAGATCTGTGAGGAACGCAATGTTGTTCTTGTGTTCTTTCAGTTTACGGAGAGATCACTGTCTGTTACTTGAAAAAAACCCCCCCCACAAAAAAACCTCCAGCACAGGCAGAACAATAATCGTGTTAAACAGTTTCCTTTTGAGAGCCACCGGATTTCAGAGTGCAAAAGTAGGCATTGAAAGTCCTCGTCATTTTCAGTGCACAGCTGTTGGAATAATCTCGAGTTCAAAGCGTGTACTTTGATCTTGTTCACACACTTGATGACAATGGCCAGTGTGTCATGCAGACTTTCATTCAGGTTTTTTTGCCACCAGGGACTGATTTCTTCAAGAAGCTCATTAAATCCACGGTACCGACCTATCATCGACGGTGACCCATTTATTGCACAGGCAACTATATTGGTCAGCGGGATCTGTTTCTCCTAAAAAAATTCTTGGGCCACTTTGAAAATGGACTCGTCTTTGGTATCTGTTTCCCACATTTTTGCAAATAACAATTCTTGCATTATTTCCTCACCCTCTATGAACCGATATCCAGTTGAAGGCTGAACTCACGTCCTTTAAGCATTTTGCACAATGATTCCTGAACATTTGCTGCCATCCCATCCATATGTCTTTTGAACGGTATTGCCACTTAGTGGCAAGAACTTTCAACACAGGCTCAGGGCACAGTGCAGGACTGTTCTGACCATCTCTCTTATTGCAGGCAATATGAGGTCTTCACGGATAGTACGTGGTTTGCCTTCTTTTGCAATTAGCAGAGATAAATTATAAGTTGCCCGTAAGCCTTCATCAGCTTGATCGACACGGCTGCAAACATCTATTTAACTGATTTTCATTTCTGAAAATTGATCTTTAGAATTTTGAAGTATGCCAGATCTTTGTAAGATTTGTCGGGACGAATCTTCTTTATATATGGGAATGCGTGCTGGGAAAGAAAGTTCTTAGTAATAAGTAGTATTGTAAACTAAGCCTAAGCTATCAATTTTTGTTTTTTATGTGGCTTCTTTCCCTTCACAATTTTTTATGTTGTTACATTTCATGAAAATTTCTTACAGCTCCCTTAACGCCCACTACCGCCCCCAATCACCCAATTTCGCCACAGCTCTCCCCCCCCCCCCAAACTGTCGCCACCAGGGGCGGTAGCGCCCACTTTGACAACCACTGATCTAAGACATTCTTAAGGGCACCTGAATCCTATTTGTCAATCTTCGCAGGTTTTTCACCCCTCACTAAATAGCTGTCATCTCTACCGATTGGCCTAAAATTATTACAATTGTTGGTGATATATTTTGGGGAATTGATGTTCCTTGATATAAATTAGAATTAAATCAATTTCAATCACTGAATACAACTTTTGTCTTCTTTGTCTCTATTTTATCATGTAGATGAAAGGATGAGAAAAAATGTCAATTTTATTTCTATTTTCAGAAACACAGTAAGAAGGCCACATAGGCATAAAGAAGACCACAAAGGTTATAGGAATTATACATATGTGACACATTATAATATTGTCTCCACTACTTTTCCATTGATGTTGACCTTCACAGGAATATAAGGGAAATTTGTTTCTACATCCATCCTCTTTACCCCAAAAAACTGGCCAAAACCCAAGAACTTTTAAAGAGGTAGGGTAATTTATTATTCATATCAAATTTTAATAAAGATATACAGGCCTAACCATTCTTTAGAAAGACATAAGAAGGCCACATAGAGGCAAATAGGACATCATACAAATTATCTCAAATCAAAGTCCAGTTTATCCCTTTTCCATTGATACTTTTATAATTGTATCGACCTTCACATTAATTTATAGGAATTTTTTTCTTCTACATCCACCCTTTTGACCTTAAAAAAACCCAACCTATCTTAAACCCAATAACTATTAAGAGATAAATGTAATTTATTACAACTGTACTATATCACATTTTAAAAAAAAGATACAGGCCTGACTATCAACACACTGATACCTTTTTCGCTCCATCATTTAAGGCATACTTAAGGGCACCTGAATCCAACTTTTTAATCTTCACAGGTTTTTCATCCATCACTAATACAGCTGTCATCCCTACCAATTGGCCTAAAATTACAAAAAATTTATTTTTGGTGGTATATTTTGTGGAATTGATGTTCTTTGATATTCAAAATTAGAAATGAAACCAATTTCACTAAATACAACTTTTTTCTTCTTTGCCTCTCTCTCTCTCTCTCTCTCTCCATATATATTGGGATGATAAAAAAAGTCAATTTTACTTACTTCTATCTTTAAAAACAAAGTAAGAAGGCCACAGGAAAAAAGAAGACCACATAGGCAAATAGGAATCATACACGTGACACACAATTATTGTCTCCACTCAATGACTTTTCCATTGGTATGTGGGGCAGCATGGTGGAATCAGGCTCTCGTAAAAATAATGAAATCGAAGAAAACAGCAGTTTTCTCCCTGCTTAGCAATTTTTATCAAATTTTTGTTTTTTGGTTCAACACCTTTTATGTCTATTTACAAACACATTCCTTTGAGGATTTCACCGAAAACGTTTATTAAAGGCACAAAAATATAAATTTACAGTTTCCATGGACT